TTGCCTTTTTATTGTTGAGTTGTAAGAGTTCTTTTATGTTCTAGATAAAAGTCTGTTATCAGATATAAACTTTCAAATATTTTCTTCCATACTCTGATTGTCTTTTCACTTTCTTAATGATGTTCTTTGATGCACACAAGTTTATCATTTTGATGAAGTTCAAAATTTCTTTTTTTGTTGTGTTTTTTGGTATTGAAATACTTGTCTATTCCAAGGTCATGTAGATTTACTCCAGTGTTACGTTTTGAGTTATTTTTTGTACATGTTATGAGTGAGATACAGGTCCAATTTCATTCTTTTGCTTGTATATTTATTCAGTTGTCTCAGCACCATTTGTTGAAAAGACTAATTTAACCCTCCTCCATTGAATTGCTTTTATGCCATTGTCAAGGAATAACTAAATTGTTTTGTTACCCTTATTTAAAATCAATTGACCACAAATATAAGGGTTTATTAATGAAATCTCAGTTCAGTTCCATTGTTCTGTATGTTTATCTTTATGCCATTGTCTTGATTACTAGAGCTTTTTAGTAAGTTTTGAAAGTGGGAAGTGTGAATACTCAAACTTTATTCTTCTTTTTCAAGATTATTTTGACTATTCAGGATTCCTTGCATTTCTATGTGAGTTTTTGAGTCAGCTTGTCTTTTTTTGCAAAGAAGCCAGGGGGAATTTTGACACTGATTACATTGACTCTGTAGACCATTTTGGGGAGTATTGCCATGGTAAAATTATTCAATTCCAGTCCAGGAACATGAGATGTCTTTTCATTTATATAGGTCTTCTTTAATTTCTTTCCATAGTATTTTGTAGTTTTTAATGTGCAAGTTTTACACTTCTTAAGTATTTTTTTATGTTATTGTAAATGGAATTTTCTTAATTTTACTTTAGGGTTGTTTACTGTTAGTGTATAGAAATACTGTTGAATTTTATATATTATTATATTCTGCATCCTTGCTGAACTCAGCAACCACAGTTCTGCTTTCTGTCTCTGTGACTACTATAGGTACCTCATGTAAGTGGAGTCATACAATAGTTGTTCTTTTGTGACTGGCTTATTTCACTTAGCATAATTCAAGGTTCCTGCATATTATAGCATGTATCAGAATTTCTCTTTAAAGGCTGAATAATATTCTATTGTATGTATATATCATATTTTGTTTATTCATTCATCTTTTGATGGGCACTTGAGTCGCTTCTACCTTTTGGCTATTACAAATAATGCTACTATAACCATGGGTGTTCGTGTATCTGTTCATATCCCTGTATTCAGTTCTTTTGGATATATATCCAGAAGTAGAACTGCTGGATCATGTGGTATTAATAATTCTATATTTAATTTTTAAGAACTGCTATACCAGTTTTCACTATGGCTACATTATTTTACATTTCTACCAGCAGTGCACAAAAGCTCCAGTTTCCCTACATTCTTGTCAACACTTATTTTCTGTATTTTTTATAGTAGCCATCCTAATGTATGTGAAATGTTGTGTCTGGTTTTAATACGAGGTTAATACTGACATCGTAAAATAAGTCAATAAGTGTCCCCTCCTTTTCTTTTCTTTTTTTTTTTTTTTGGTAAGTGTGAGGGATTGAGATCCTCTTTTTAATTCTTTTTTTATTTTTTTTTATTTTTTAGCTGAGCCATCCTGTCACCTGTTGGCAGCTCAGCGGCAGCTCAGCATGGGCTGGGAGTCAAATTGTTATTGCTCAGAGCTCGCACTCTTAAGTGAGCTCTTTACCAACTGAGCCACTTGGCGAGCCCTAATTCTTTAAATGTTTGGTAGAATTCACCAGTAATGGTATCTAGTTATGGGCTTTTTTTTGTGGGAAGTTTTTTTGGGGGGGGGGGAGGAATTGGGAAAGGGAACAGTGTTAGGGAATTGGGAAAGGGGAACATTGTGTTTTTCCAGGATCCATCAGCTCCAAGTCAAGTTGTTGTCCTTCAGTCTTAGTTGTGAAGGGCGTAGCTAAGCTCCAAGTCCAGTCATCACTTTTAATCTAGTTTGGGGGGGGGGGGTGCAGCCCACCATCCCATGCGGGAATCCAACCAGCAACCTTATTGTTAAGAGCACGCACTCTCACCAGCTGAGCCATCCAGCCGCCTGTTGGCAGTTCAGCAGCAGCTCTGCTCAGGCACAGCTCAGTGGCCCATGTGGGAATCGAACCAATTACCCTGTTGCTCACAGCTTGCACTCTAACCAACTGCGCCACCCGGCCGGCCCTTTGTGGGAAGTTTTTACAAAGCATTCTGTTTACTTGGTATAGGTTTATACAGATTTTCTGTTTCTTCTTGAGTCTATTTTGATGGTTTATATCTTTCTAGAAATTTGTACATTTCATCTAGATTATCTAATTTGTTAGCATGCAATTGTCGATAGTATACTTTATAATCATCTTTATTTCTGTAAGGTCTGTATTATTAGCCCCTCTTTCATTCCTGATTTTAGTAATTTGAGCCTTCTCTCTTTTTTTCTTGGTCAGTCTAGCTAAAGATTTGTCCATTTGTTGATCTGTTCAAAGAACCAACCTTTGGTTTTGTTTATTGTCTCTTGTTTTTCTATTCTCTCTTTCATTTATTTCTACTCTAATCTTTATTTCCTTTCTTTTCCTTGCTTTGGATTTAGTTTGATCTTCTTTTCCTAGTATCCTAAGGTGCGTGGTTAGATTATTGATTTGAGATCTTCTTCTTCTTAAAAAAATTTCCCAATAAATACTACATCTCATAAGTTATGTTATGTTGCACTTTATTTTTATATGCCTTAATTCTATTTTGATCCTGAGTTAATAAATTGAAGCATTTAACAAGTGTACAATTTTGAGACTGTCTTCAATCTTTACTCTGGAGCGCCTCAGTTTCTTTAAGTAAAATTGATTTACAGAACTTATTAATTAAATGCATTTCTGAAAAGCGTTGCACTTTAAAAAGTGAATTTTCCTCATACATTATTCTAAACCTACTTAATCCACCTCCCCCCCCTCTCCACCCCCAGTTTACATTGTTTTCTATTCCATTTTTAGTGTTTCACCTTCCTGGTGTTTATCTTATTTTCATTCCAGTTTAGACATGAACCTCAAAAGAGTAACATGTTGCATTCCTTTAGATATCATTCATATGGGACTGAGAATTGTCTTCTATATGCTTTTATCATCTCTGCTTTATATTTATTGTCTATTTAATTGGGGCTAAAAGTGACGGTTTTTTTTTTTATAAAGATTTTATTGGTAATTAGGGGAGGGAACATTGTTGGGGAATTGGAGAAGGGAACAGTGTGTTTTTCCAGGACCCATCAGCTCCAAGTCAAGTTGTTGTCCTTCAGTCTTAGTTGTGGAGGGCGCAGCTCAGCTCCAAGTCCAGTCACCATTTTTAATCTAGTTATGGGGGGCGCAGCCCACCATTCCATGTGGGACTTGAACCGTCAACCTTGTTGTTTAAGAGCTTAAGCTCTCACCAGCTAAGCCACCCGGTTGCCCATTGGCAGCTCAGCGAAAGCTCAGCTTGGGCGCAGCTCACTGGCCCATGTGGGAATCGAACCAGCAATTGTGTTGCTCAGAGCTCGTGCTCTAACCAGCTGCGCCACCTGGCCAGCCCCCCCCAAAATGACTTTTTTTAAATGGAGTGGTTTTATTTTGTAATGATTAAATTATAGAGTGAATTGTGAAAATATTTAGGTTTCTAGAGAAACTAGAGTAGGTATTAGACACTGGGAGGAGGGGTTCAGTTTGCTGTATTACAAATTAGCATAGTGAGAACTGATGGAAACTCTGGCAGTTACCCCATTAATTGAAACCTGTCTGCATGAGTTATTTTTCCATTTAACAGTGTGTATTACATACCTACTTTGTGTTAGGCACTAGGCTGTAGTGGTCAAAAACAGACGGAGTCCCTGTCTCATGGAGCTTGGTCTAGTGGAGACAGAATATAAACTAAATCACAATTAAATGTGAAATTATATCTTTAGTGCTATGAAGGAGAAGTTTAGGATGGTAAGAGTATAAAATAATTAAAGAAATTTGACATAGTTTAGAAGTTGTGGAAAGACTTCTCTGAAAGAGTTATGGATGTATATATAGGGGTTACGTAGGTTAAGGAGGGAAGAAAAGTGAAGCTAGTAATAGCAGCATCTTTGTGGACATGGAAAGAAAAGGATGGCATTGAGAGAAGTTTAGGAGGTCTGTCACCTGGTCTTACTGGTGGAGATGGGAGAACGAGGTTCTAAGAATGAGTCCCCGATTTCTGGCTGTGCTGTTAAAGGAATGTGGTGCCATTGACTGGGATGGGAAACAATGAAGAGTAGAGAGAACATAGCACTGAGGTCGAAGAAACTCCAATAATGTGATGGCTTGGGAAGGGGAGGCTGTACCAGCACCTGAAGAGGTGAGAGAATAGAACCAGCCAGACCCACAAAAGGAGAACAGGGATGTGTCCTGTCCTGGGATGCAAGGGAAGGAAATCTAACATATCAAGATGAAGGAGCAGGCAGAAGATCAGATATTCCTGCAAAGTAAGATAAGGACTGAAACATGTTCATGGGATTTAATGATATAATATTCAGTGGTGACCTTAACAATAGCCACTGTGAGAGAGTAGGGACTCTGGAATCCGTATTGGGTGGTGTAGTGTCAGGAGTGAGTCAGTGGTGAGGAGGCGGAGACAACAAATACAGGTAACTCTTTGGAGAAATTTATCTCCTCAGTGAAAAAGGAGGGGAGAAGATAGGGTGGCTGTACGTGAAGGTAGGCTTCATACTGAGAGGGAGAATAAGAGGAGCTCACTTTCTGAGGGCAGGGGTGCCACAATGGTAAGAGTTGAGAATACTTGAGATGGTCTTGGTGAAAGATGTGATTATGAGAAAGAAATGTGGAAGCCACATTATTGGTATTAATAGCTACCATTAATTAAGCACCTGTTCTGTGTTAAATTTAAATTTTTTAAAGTAGTCACTAATTTTTTTTTCTTTTCTCTTTTTTTTCTTTTTTAACCATAATCCCCTTTTGTCAGAAGAATGATGAAAATGGAAATTGCTCAGGGGAAGGAATTGAATTCCCTACAACAAACTTATACGAACTGGAAAGCCGTGTTTTGACTGATCATTGGTCCATCCCTTATAAGCGGGAGGAATCACTAGGCAAATGCCTGTTAGCATCTACCTACCTAGCAAGACTTGGTAAGTTCTCAGATTTCAGAACACCTGAGGTTTTGTTTGTTTGTTTGTTTTTTGATAAGAGGCCTAGCTTTAATCTTAGTTCTTGTCATTGCCTATCTGTATAATCTTAGATCATTTACTCTCTCTTAGTCTTGGCTTATTTCCTGTGGAATAAAAGCTTTGAATTCAATCACCTGTTTTCTTCTATCTCCAACAGAGTGCAAGATTCTTTAAAATACAATTGAAAAACTTTATAGAAATTGAAATTAACTTTTTCCACAGAATCTTGGAGCATTTAAAATTAAGTCTTAATTTAGTGGCTTTTTTTTTTAAGAGAAAAAAGTAATATTTATTTAAGAAACAATCTGTACTTAGTAGGTGCTTGGCACTGTCTTAAGTCCTTTACAAATATTAAACTAATAGAGGAATAAATTATCACTAGAATGGAAGAATGGTTGTCAATATAAGGAAGCTTTTATACTATATATTACAGAAAAAATATTTTTCATATTGAACTCAATTTTAAGAAGAATTGGGCCACTGCTTTGTGATTTTTTTTTTCTTTAAAAGTATGCATAGTTTACAACCATGATTAAATATGAGGCACATCAGTAGGAAGTGTTTTGACTAGGTTTAGATTTAATCCTAATAGGCAATTTTATGGTGCCTTTATTACTGGCTTCTCACAACAGCATTTATGGAGTGCCTGTTAGCATATAGG